TCTCCCCGCTCAGCCCCCCCCCCCACTGAACCATGCGCTGGGGAGGGGTCCACACACCAGGAGCCCGAGGCTGCCTCCCCTCCCTCTCCCGGCTCTGCGTGCCGGAGACGGGGCTGCCGTGGACACCCCGGAAGCCGCTGTGTGCACGTGGGCAGGAATGGCCGCAGAGTGGCCGGGACACCGCTCTTGGGCAGCGCGTTCCTGGGTCCTGCAGCAGGCGGCCCCCACCCCAAGTCCTGGGACGGCCGCCTTCTAAAGAAAATGCTTTCCATTCTGCCTGCTCTTCCTCCAGGGTAGGGCAGCAGCCCTTCCTGCCCCGGGCGGGAGTGGGGGCTCCCAGGCTGCACCCCAGTTCCTCCTTCCCCCCACCCCCACGTGCCAGCCACCTGCACGGCTACCGATTCTTCCCCTAACAGGGTCGGGCTGAGCCCCTCTCGCCGGCGCCACCTCCGTCCCTCCCCCCACAGCTGTGTCCTCCTTTCTCGAAAGTCCGCGTGGCCCGAGCTGCAGGTGTCACGGCGACAGGTGCATGACGCGAGGGGGCGCGTCGGCCACCACCATTTGACCACAAGGACCTTCTAAGGAGCTGAACGCCGCGGTGGGGACAGAGCTGGCAGCCACGTGGTTGTCAGCTTCTGCCTTGCAGGAGGCACAGAAGCAGGAGAGCGGTGGGCAGTGCAGGGCGGGGCCGCGGGGAGGGGCTGCAGCCTCGGCTCCGCCTGCTGCCTCCCCCCTGCCTGCACCGTGGCTGCCCTGGCCCCAGCGCAGTGATCTCTGTCAGCACACAGCTGCCGAATCTGCCCCGGCCAGCCGCGGCCAGTGTCTCCCAGGGCGGTCGCTGCACACCTCCCTGGAGATGTGGGCTGGGGCACCCGTGGGACAGAGTCTGCCCCTCGGTGTCCACCGCCAGATTCGGCCAGGGGACTTCCCACAATGCCTGGGGACAACTTTGGTCAGCGTCACTGGAGGCAGGAGCCTCTGGTGCTTGGTGGGAAGAGGCCAGGGACGTTGCTACTGCCCCACGGTGCCCCCAAGTGTCCCCCGCGCTGAGCTGGGGATCCCTGGCCCAGGCCAAGCAGCCTCCGCCCGGTTGCCTGGCGCCACTGACCTCCTGCTGGCTTCCCGCGTCCCCTCGGCCCGCACCAGCCATCCTCAGAGGCCGCTCAGCCCCAGGCCTCCTGGTTAAGCTGTTCCAGTGGCCCCTCTCTATGAACAAAGCCCAGTTTCTCCCATGGCCTCCAGCACCGGCCCTGGCCCAGAAAGTACCTACTGTGTGCTTGGCAAGCGCCTACTCTGTGCTGCGGGGTCTGAGCCCTTGCTTTCAGTCCTGCACCCCGGTCACCTCTTCCGTGAAGCCTGCCTGAGTTCCCCATTTCATATGCCCACAGGCTTCCTGGAGAGACTCCTGATCTTGCCAGTGACCTGACTGGACCTGCCGTCGGGAGCCCCCCGGGCAGGTCTGAGGGCAGGGGCCCTGCTGCCTGGCCGTCACAGACATTTATAGAAGAAGAGAAAGACCTGGGTCCCCCAAACCCCGCGTTCAAGTCAGGTTTGGCTGCAGAGTGTGCAGGGCTCCCTGCAGAGTGCGGATGCTGGGTCCTTAGGCCAAGCCCACGAGGAGTCGCGACAGTGACAGCACAGCTTTGAACCCAGGCAGGGTCCTTCGGGGGGGGGTGGGGGGTCCACGGAGCCCACCCTGACCGCTGACCGCAGTGTCCCAAGGACCACGCTTCCAAACTACACCCTTCCATTGCTGCCAGTGCTCCCCGAACTCACTCCCGGGGCAGGTTCGCTGCTAAGAAGCCAAACGGGAAAACTGCAGAAAACACAGCCCAGTTTCCCCGAGACTGAACGTGTGCCAGGGCCAGTCCGGTCCATTCTGCAACTGCTTTCCTCCCACTTTGCTGCCGGGGAAACGCCTTCTAGGGGACAGTGGTGATGAGCAAGGTCGTCACCATTTGGGACACGAGCGTCTCACCTGGAAGTGCCTGGCTTTGAACCCCGGCTTCCAGGTGACGGCCCACCTGCTTGGGTCCCTGCCACTTCTGTGGCAAACCTGGACCGGGTTCCCGACTCGTGGCTTCGGCCTGAGCCAACCCCCGCTGTTGTAGCCAGCAGATGCGAGATCTCCCTCTCCCTCCCTCCTTCTCCCTCTCTCCCTCCCTCTCTCCCTCTCTCTTCCTCTCTGCTCTCCCTCTCTCTCCCTCTCTCCCCCTCTCTCCCTCTCTCCCCCTCTCTCCCTCTCCCTCTCCCTTTCTCTCCCCCTCTCTCCCTCTCTCCCTCCCTCTCTCCCTCTCCCCCTCTCTCCCCCCTCTCTCCCTCTCTCCCCTCTCCCTCTCTCCCCTCTCCTTCTCCCCCCCTCCCTCTCTCCCTCTCCCTCTCTCCCTTCCTCTCTCCCCTCCCCCCTCCCTCTCTCCCTCTGTGTTTCTAAATAAATACACATTTAAATAAAATGAAAGATGGGAAGACCTCAGGCCCCTCTGGCGCTTGCTCTGCGGGGTCCCTGTTGCTGGACTCCAGCGAGTCTGGGCTTTCCTCCCAGAAGAGCCTCTGCCAGCGCCGTGGCCAGCAGAGGGGGCCACAGCAGTGCGGAGCCCCTGGCTGCGCGGCGCGGCGCGGAGGGAGCTGCCTCTCCCGTGGCCCAGCCGCCGCGCTGCCTCTCCCGCGGTGACGTGCGGTTCAGTGTCCTCTTGGGCCAAAGCCCTTGCTTGAAATCTGCGGTGCCCAGCCCCCGCTGCTGGGGAGGCTGCCCTGGACAGCTTTGTTCCTTAAGAAGACAAAAGGAAAAAAAAGAAAAAAAGGATGAGGTTTGCCTTTCACAAAATCTAAGGAAGGAGGGGGTGGGGTTGGCGGTTAGGACGCTGCTTGGGAGGCCCGCGCCTCACACCAGGTGCCTGGGCTGGAGTCCTAACTGGGCTTCCAATTCTGTTAATTCCTACTGACGCATGTCCCGGAAGGCAGCAGGTGACGGCTCAAGTGCTCGGGTCCCTGCCACCCACCTGGGAGCCCCGATGGAGTTCTGGGCTCCTGACTCTGGCCTGACTCAGCCCCGGCTGTTGTAGGCATTGAGGGAGTGAACCAGAAATGGAAGCGCACGCGCTTTCTCTCTCTGTCTCTCTGCCTTTAAAGTAAATTTTAAAAATAAATACATTTTTTAAAGATGTATTTACTTATTTGAAAGGCAGAGTTACAGAGAGGCAGAGAGAGAGAGAGAGAGAGAGAGAGAGAGAGAGGTCTCCCATCTGCTAGTTCACTCCCCAAATGGTTGCAATAGGCAGAGCTAAGCCGATCCAAAGCCAGGAGCCAGGAGCCTCTTCTGGGTCTCCCACGTGGGTGCAGGGGCCCAAGGACTTGGCCATCTTCCACTGCTTTCCCAGGCCACAGCAGAGAGCTGGATCGGAAGTGGAGCAGCCAGGACTCAAACTGGTGCCCATACGGGATGCTGGCACTGCAGGCGGCGGCTTTACCCGCTATGCCACAGCTCCAGCCCAAAAATAAATAAATTTTTAAAAGCACCCTGAGGTTTTCTCCCAGAAATTTTCTGATTCAGTGGGCCGGGGGCCAGGCATTAGCACCCTTAACACTGCTCCCCAGCCCCCTCCCTGGTTCTCACACGTGGCTCGGAACAGAAATGCCGTTCCTTTCCCAGGCAAAAGAGAGTGAGGGTTGGGGGCCGGGTGGGCTTGTTTATCGCTGGGGCAATGGCCTGCATTTCATTCAGTTTTCAGAAACAACAACAACAACGCAAGCCCCATCCTGCCCTGGGCTCCTCTGGCGGAGGCCACGCTGGCCACTGGCATGACTGGCACTAGAGCCCCTGCCGGACCCTCGCAGCCAGGAGCCTGTGCCAGGGGCTGGGATGGCCTCAGCACCCCCAGCTCCCCGCTGTGTGGGGCTCCGGCGTGTACGGACAGCTCGCGAGCGTCTTCCCTGATAATAAAAATCGTTTCGACAGAAAGGGTAATTCAAAGTTGATGCAGGGAGATAGAAACCCCCAGTGACTCAAAAGGTATTTTGGGAGCGGTCCCTGGGCCGGTGGGGCGTGAGTCATCCTTCTGGGAGATGACGGGAGGTTTAAGGAGCAAGTCCACAGCGAGGAGGCGTGTGGGGAGGGAGGCTCCCCTGGGGGGCGTCTGCAGGCAGGACCCCTGCCCCGGGGGTGCGGAGCGCGCCCTGCACCAGCCCCACGCTCCTTCTTGCTTTCACACAGGTGCCCCGTGGGCCTGGGGGGCGCAGGTCGTGCCAAGCGGGCCGGAAGCGCTCTGTGCGATATGGCCTGGCGGCGGGCACGGCTGGCGTGGCTGGGAACCCAGGACCCACCGGCCTCTGCAGGAGCACGGAGCCCTGGCGCTGGTGACAACGCAAGCGCTCTCCAGCCGCGGTTCCCCGGCCCTGCCTCTGCCGCGGCCCCAACAACAGTGTCATCTCGAGAGACAGCTTGTGTCTGCCGGCGTCACCTCCACACTTCACAGGGCGGCAGAGAATCCACAGTGAGAGCCGCGAGAGCGCCAGGGGCTGTGACCCGCGTGTCCCCTCCGAGGCGGGACGGCAGAGGGGACTTAGCCGTGCCTCGCTGGCCGACACCCTGGAGGGCCCTGCTCCGCTGCTCTCTGTCAAGACCCCTCCTACTCAGATCCAGAGTCTCTAAGAAGCCACAGCGGAGGGACGCCTGCCTGCCCACTGCCCATCCTGCCACGGAAATGAACAGCGAAGTGATAAAACCCCGCACCCTGACCTTGACGTTGGCGCCAGGTTGGGCTCAGGGCCCAGCCTCTGTCCTCGCTTTCCGGGCATCACTGCCCCGGGGGCTCGGCTCCTTCCCGGGGGAGGTAGAGGTTTCGCCAGCATCAGCTCTGCAGGGTGCCCTGGGCGTGGGGGCGGGGGGAGGTGGTGTGCGCCCGGCTCCCTAAACACCAGCTACTGTGAAGCAGTGGAGACGGAAGCGAGAGTGGATTTTAATCCGCCACAGACGAAGCCTGGGGTAGCCTGGCTTTCCAAGTAGTAAAAATTGGTTCCAATATAATTTAGCCCCTTCAGAAGTCGGATTTGAAACGAACATTTGTAGGGAACCTACAAATTACATCTGCAAGGATGGGTCTGTAATTACAGGCTTCATTAATTACACTGGGGATTTGTTCTTGAAAAGGTGTGTCAAGTGCGGCCCATTTTGTCCGGGGCGGGGGGGGGGGGGAGAGCGAGCACCCATGGGGAGGGAGCTCTCGTCCGCAGGGACCCGTGGACGCTGGTGTTTTACACGTGGGGTCTCCACTAAATCAGGCCGGCTGCTCCGATCTTGGGAGACTCCATGTGACTTTTTTTTTTTTAAGATTTATTTATTTATTTGAAAGTCAGGTCATAGAGAGAGAAGGAGAGGCAGAGGCGGGGGGGGGGGAGAGAGAGAGAGAGAGAGGGAGAGGCAGAGAGAGAGGTCTTCCATCCGCTGGTTCACTCCTCAATTGGCTGCAAAGGCTGGAGCTGAGCCGATCCGTAGCCAGGAGCCAGGAGCTTCTTCCGGGTCTCCCACGTGGGTGCTGGGGCCCAAGGACGTGGGGCATCCTCCACTGCTTTCCCAGGCCACAGCAGAGAGCTGGATCGGAAGTGGAGCAGCCGCCGGACGCAGTGGGGCACGCCTGTAGTCCCCGCTACTCGGGAGGCTGAGGCCGGGGGATCACTTGAGTCCAGGAGTTCTGGGCTGTCATGCGCTATGCCGATCGGGTGTCCGCACTAAGTTCGGCATCAATATGGTGACCTCCCGAGAGCGGGGGACCACCAGGTTGCCTAAGGAGGGGTGAACTGGCCCAGGTCGGAAGTGGAGCAGCCGAGACTCAAACTGGCGCCCACATGGGATGGGCTGGCTGGCTTTACCCGCTACGCCACAGCGCCAGCCCCTCCATGTGACGTGTTTAACAACAGACGTGTTTAACAGCAACAGGGATGCTTTCTGGAAGACGACGGCTGGCCCGAGCACAGGAGGGGATTGGGGGACCAGGTTCCTCTGTCCCCTCGCAGCTCGCTCCGGCCGAGCCCCGCTGGACCTCTCAGGGCGCAGCTACTAAACTCCGCCTCTGGCCGAGCGCTGTTCTGCCCGCGGTCAGCCCGCGCCCGCGATGCAGCTTGCTTCCTCGTGCAACACGGTGCCTTGGCGTTCCGTATGAAGCACTTTAGGCTTTAGGATTTTTTTTAATGATTTATTTATTTGAAAGGCAGCGTGACACAGAGAGGGAGAGGGAGAGGGAGAGGGAGAGGGAGAGGGAGAGGGAGAGGGAGAGGGAGAGGGAGAGGGAGAGGGAGAGGGAGAGGGAGAGGGAGAGGGAGAGGGAGAGGGAGAGAGATTTTCCCATCTGCTGGTTCACCTTTCCAAATGCCCACCACAGCCAGGGCTGGCCGGGCCGAAGCCAAGAGCCCAGCTTCCCACCCAGGTGGCAGGCACTTGGGCCGTCACCGGCTGCCTAGCAGGGAGCTGGCTCAGGAGTGTGGAGCAGCCAGGACTCGAGCCAGCCTCTGAGATGCAACCCAGGTGCCCCGAGCGGCGGCTGCACCTGCTCTCCCCCTGTGGCCTGCCCCGGTTTTAAGAAATTTTCACACACTCAAGCAACACGGGGCAGCCCAACACGAAGGCCTCACCCAGGTCCCCGGCTCCCCGCGGCCCACTGCCCACAGGCGTGCAGTTTCCGGTGCACATTCGCGCCCACGCTCGCCCATCTCTAGATCTGTTTTACAACAACCCCAGCCCCTGCTGGGACAACTGGAGCCGAGAGCAGGAGGGGAACGCAGCGTGAGGGGGAGGGGCTTCTCCTTCCTGAGTCCTGGACAAAGGTAACTTTGGAAAAACCTCGAGGGGCACATGGTGACCCTCGGCCTGTCCAGGAGGGAGGCTGCAGCTCCTGGAGAAGAGAGGGCGCAGGCATCGAGCCCTTTGCCGGCAGCACCCCGGTGGGTGGTGGTGGCCGGGGTCGGACCAGCTCATCTCGGCTCCAGGCGGATTCTGGCCTCCCAGAAGCCCCCCGGGCCTGGGCAACCCAGGTTGGAGGCCACGGGTGCACCTGCGATCCCTTGTTGGGATCCTGGTCAGTAGCACCAAAGCTGGAAGGTGAAGTTGGCCAGCGGGGCGCAGACCTGGGGCGGAGAGTGGCTGGGCTCCCTGTCCTGCCTAGTGCAATGCTGGCTGGAAGCTGGACCCAAACAGTGGGCGGGAGTTTGGCCCTGACACCCGCTGTGCTCAGGACCCGGTGCGTTGCATTTGGCACTGGCACAGAGCTGCTGGCGAAGCGGCCGCCAAGAGTGCATTTCTACGCGCCTGGCGTTTTGGCCTCAGCCCCCACTGGCGACCTTCGACTCCCGAGTGCACTGTGGACCCTGAGGTCCCAGACCCGAGGGCCGAGGCCTGGCGCATCCCCAAAGGCACACACGCAGGCTCTGGGGGAGAGGCGGCGGCTGCAGGAAGGCAGGCTGGGACTGGAACGGATTTTCCCCTCCCCGGAGGCGCACACGAAACCCCGTGGTGTGAGCCCCCACCCTCGCCCCGGCACCTGGCTGGGACACGGGCCCCTGGAACGCCGCCCGCCACCCGTGCAGGCACCCAGAGGTGCAGACCTCTCCCCGCTCTGGGGGGTTGGCTGGTGTGCCGGGAGCCCCTCCCCCTTCAGGCGGGGCGCACGTGTTTGATCAGAGGCTGCGAGGCGCGGTCACGTTATCTGCTGCTCCATCATCGGAGGGCAGAATCCTGCAGCCCCCGCGCTCACGCCCGCCCCGGTCAAATCCTGCTGAGCGAGTTGGCCACCCACATTGTCTCGGTGTCTTTCGGACAGCTGCGATTTTGGCACCGAGAGACTCAAATTCTCCGACAGACTTCTTGATGCCCCTTTAAGAAGACGGAAGCCCCCTGCAGCTGGGCGTGGCATCCGAGGTTGCCACGGCCCCCACTGCGCATGTCCCCCCACCCCCAGTACCGCAGTTGGAGACCCTGCCCTCGATGGCCCTCCAGCAGACGGGATTTCTGGACCTGCCCCTCGGCCTTGGGAGACAAGGAGCCGTTTCGTACCACGTGGGGCGGGGCTGCTTGGGGCTGTCCACTGCCCCACGCTCTCCCTGCCACACCCCTCGCTGGTCCTCCCTTTTTCTCGCCTTTCCCCTCCCCTCCCCACCCCATGAACCCTGCTTTTCCCCTGAGCAGATGTGTCCAGTGAAGCGACTTTATTCCTGGGCTCCCTGCACACGGAAGTGGCCCAGGGAAGGTAAGGGGCAGTCATTGCCCGGCCCTCCCTGGTTGGTTCCTTAAAGACAGGCTGCTTTGGCTAAGTGTGCCTGTACTCCATGCAAGCCCCCTTGTTTCCAGCTCCAGCCAAGAATAAGTCACAAGGGCTGGTGCTCCAGCAGCTGTATTGGGCCAAGAGAACCCTAAACTTCCCATTGTAAAAGTTCCAGAACCAGGCCCGGCACTGTGGCATAGTGGGTAAAGCAGCTGCCGTGGTACCAGCATCCCATATGAGCGCCGACTCAAGTCCACTTCCGGTCCAGCTCCCGGGAAAGCAGCAGAAGACAGTTCAAGTGCTTGGGCCCCTGCACCCGTGTGGGAGACCCGGAAGAAGCTCCTGGCAGCCGACGTCCCTGCGTCAGAACTGACCGGCAGTGTTAGCGCGCGTTCCTCGGGGCGCACCTGCGACCGAGCATTGTTCTCTGAGAGCCAGTGCTCCTGACCCCAAGCGCCCGGGCGCTCCTGTATGAACAGACATTTTCTCAGGAAAAGCAGCGGTCACTGCTGCTCGCGGGGACCGTGCAGGGCAGGGAGCCGGCTCCGGGCTGCGTGCGAGCCTGCAGGGGGCGGCACGGCGCAGCGAAGAAGCAGGGCTGTGCAGCCTGCGTACAAACCCCGGCTCGGCCACCTGCCTCACTGTGGGATGCTGGGCACGGTTTAGACCCCCACGAGCCTCAGTTTCTCTCTGGATAAAATGGGCCTTGGTTTGGCCGCTCTGTCTGAGCACTGCAGGCATCGTCTGCACCCCCACGGGGCCCTGGGACTCCCATGTCCTGCTGCCCGTGCCCCACACAAGGCAGACCCCCACCTGACCCCAAGAAAGTGGAAGTCAGAGGGGCCGGCGCTGCGGCACAGTCGGTTAAGCCGTTGCAGCCCCGGCATCCCGTATGGGCGCTCCTTTGAGTCCCGGCTGCTCCACTTCTGATCCAGCTCTCTGCTGTGGGCTGGGAAAAGCACCCGAAGATGGCCCAGGTGCTTGGACCCCTGCACCCACGTGGGAGATCTGGAAGACACTCCTGGCTTCTGCCTGGCCCAGCCCTGGCATTGCAGGAATTTTGGGAATGAACCAGTGGATGGAAAATCTCTCTCTCTCTCTCCTTGTAACCTTGCCTTTCAAATAAATAAATCTTTAAAAAGTAAGATGGAAGCCAGGTCACTCAGGTGACTCTGAGGGAGACAGGTGCTTACTGGTTTATTAATTAAACTGCACGGGCGGCTTTGCACCCACAGCTGGTCCTGCCCCGCTGGGTGATTTACGTGGGGCCCCAGGGGACGGCAGGGCGGGACCCTGCGCTCTGATTTGCTGCCAGGATTCGGGGCTACCGGGCACTCTCGGTCTTTGGCTTCCTCATTTAGCAGTTGTAAAGGACTCATTAAAACGCCTCCCGCCGGGAGGCCGGCCAGGGTGGGAGCCCCGTGCCTGCTGGCTCTGCACGGTGCGGAGCAAAACTGGAACTGCACCTCGGGGCCCGGAGCAGGCATGCGGCTTCTGATGGGAGGGGCCGAAGACAGATCCTGAGCGCTCCCTGCGGGGCGCGGGGTCCGGGGTGGGGGGCGTCCCTGCCAGGTGCAGAGTCCCGTGCCCCCGACTTGGCTCCGTCGAGGCCTCAGCCTCTGTCCCCCCCCCCCCGACTCCCAGCCTCCTGCCTCTGGGGAGCAGTGACGGGGTGGGGTGGGAGGGTCTCTCCTAACTCACGTGGTCTCTCCGGAAGAATGGCCTCGCAGCTCGAGTGAGTGTCCAACCAGAGAAGCCCACCCTTGGACCCTGTGGCCTGTCCCCGAGGGCTCCTGCCCAGCACCTGCCGCGGGCCCTGCTGCTTGTCGTCACAGTGGGACACCAAGACCCCTGCCCGAATTTTGGATCCAGATTTTGTTTCAGACTTCTGTTTTT